CTCATATATTTTATGATGGTATGATACTTAACCCCTAACGGGAGGGATAGTGCTTGATTTTCGTATGATTAAGACATAATTTTTCAATCAGCTTAACTGAGGTCTGAAGCTGGCATGCCAGTAACTGCTAGTAATCCTTTGTTAATGTATGTATCATTGTCATTTTGCTTAGTTTCTTTTGTTACCTAATCTGACATTAGACTCAGACTTCTTTTAAACTGATTTTTACTGTGCGTATTGCTGTGTGTTTGTTTATTCTACATTGGCTAGAGGTAAAGGGGGGGTTGAGATCTCACAAAACCCGCCGCATTTTTGCGCCTGTCCCAAGTCAGGAGCCTCTGGCCTTTGTTAGGCTTGTATGCTTTTTTAATTTTAGTTCATTTATATGTTTTGGAGTCTAGTGTGACGTCCATTTTCATTGAACTAGTACACATTTATGTTTAGGGGCCAGCTGAAGCCCGCCTCCGGGTGCGGGATTTTCTCGCTGTGTTGAAGACCCATTGGAGGCCTTCGGCTGTTTTCTGCTCTTTGGTCCGGTTGTTGTCTAGTTGACACATTCCCCATTTCCATTCTCATTTTTACTAAGTATAGATCTGAGAGTACTCGCAGTTACTGACAGCTAGTTCAAAGCCAATAACAACTAATAAAAAAACATGCATCTAAGACTAAAATATTAATCAGTACACATCCAACATTAAATGGATTTAGTGTAAAGACGTCATTAACAGCCAGAGAAAAACATGACCTTGTGCAATGCAAAGATACAGGTATCGACATATTCTAGAGCCATGAATATGCATATGGATATAAAAATAATATTTAGTTGATTTTAATTTACTGATAAAAAAAATCAACATTTATACCAATAAAAATTTAGTTTGATTTTAATTTATTGTTAATAAAATCAATTTTTATACCAACAAAAACAATACCCAAAGATCTAATTACAGTGTTGAATCGGTTACCTTTTAGAATAAGTTTATTTATGAGGATCGACAAGTTTACCAGGATCATTTCTAAATTTCCAGGCTCGGTAAACAACATATCCGTAAAAATTAGGATGTGCTATCCCGTTTGAAATAAGTTTTGTTTCTTTATTTGTTGCTTTCAGTCTGTAGCGCCACTTTCAGATACCATGGTTATATTACGGAGGTCATGTAATGTTTTCCAGGTTGAGGAAGCCAGAGTAACCGGAGAGAACTACCGAAATTCGACAGCATAACTGGCAATCTGTGTCTATTAAGGTTTCTTTCCCCAAAACTGACAGGCATATGTTAATCACTGTATATACACTGCTTAGACCACTAGGTCACCGAGGCCTCGATCATACTTACATGTAATTTTGGGTCAATGACTGCATATAACTGCATGATTGAGATATTGATGAATTGGTGTTTAGCGTCCAGTGGCAAATATAACTGTCATATAAGAAAAATAACATGTTTATGTGATATGAATATATGTAATAGAAAAACAACGGATATGGGGTATCCATCCATGACACAAAATCAGTACATGCACAGCAAAAAAAAAACAAAAAAAGCAAAGGAACAGCGCTTTTATTACTGTTCCCTACTTTGTACTAGACCGACACGCTAAGCCGAAATTTTCAACGTGTTATTTCACATTGTAACATTCGGAGGAAAGACATGTCATCGTACATGGCCACACTATTCTGAGTCTTGGTTGACTAGTCCCTGACTGGAGATTGACTATAAAATAAGAAGATGTGGTATGATTGCCAACTCTCCACAAGAGACCAAATGACACAGAAATTAACAACTATAAGTAATCGTACGGCCTTCAACAATGAACAAAGTCTTTGCTCCTACTACTAAGCGTATACACATGATTAACTGAGATGCAACAAATATCAATTCTCGAGTTTTTTTATTAGCCTGTCCGGTGATTTTCACATATAATGTGGTTGTCTTTCTTCAAAGTATAGTGGTTGCTATAAATTTAAGATTCGATCCATTTAGGTATAAACATTTATATTTTGATAATGCCGATAGGGTATTGGTGCCTGCAGGTGATCTTTTATACCTTTTTGAACATAGCATGTCGTAACTGACATAGCGATTCCGCTTGTGTCCACTTGTGTCCGAATGCATTCCTCTGATTTAAATTTTTATATTTTTTTCATAGAAATAGCACTTTGTCTAGTTGTGTTAGCAATCTTATTTTCATCTGTTTGTTGTTGTTATATATGATCATATATAAAAATAGCAACATTCTAATTTATTATCGCCGGTAGTCCACGTCTTTAATTTGATAAAGAAATAACACTGTTTCAACATTTGATAAATTGTTTTATATGCAACAAATGCATTGCCTCTACTTCTTGTCGCTTTTATTGTCTTGTTTTATTAATTTTATGTTTGGAATTAGTATTGTATAGAATTAAGGAGATGTATGCCAATGAGACAACTATCCACCAGAGACCATGCATATGACGTACATATAATCATTTATAGATCACAGTACGGCCTTCAACTATCAACAAAAAGTCTGGACAAAATGTAAAACAGTATACAAACAAGGTAAAATTCATATTAAATATTGTCCGCAGACACTATTTCATTATGAAATAGTGTGCTTGTCCATGAAATTTTGTCACTTCCTTCATGACAATATTTCACTATGAAATTCTGTCCATGCCAATATTTCACTATGAAATTCTGTCCATAGAAATAAGAAGATATGTCCAATACAATATTTCACTATGAAATTCTGTCCATAGAAATAAGAAGATATGTCCAATACAATATTTCATTATGAAATTCTGTCCATGACAATATTTCACTATGAAATTCTGTCCATAGAAATAAGAAGATATGTCCAATACAATATTTCACTATGAAATTCTGTCCATAGAAATAAGAAGATATGTCCAATACAATATTTCACTATGAAATTCTGTCCATGACAATATTTCACTGTGAAATTTTGTCTATGAAAATGTTCAAATTATTACAAAGTTAAAAACATTACAAACGACAGTGAACCAACACCTGGTAAATCTTAGAATCCCTAAAGTGGATACCTCGAGTTAAAAAGAGTACACAATCATGAAGCATGCACATTTCTAGATTTGTAACTGAAATTATTTTGTAAAGCAAGCATATATTTTATATTTCAAACAAGTAATCATATTAATTAGCATAAGCTAGTTCAAAATTTGCATAGATACTTTATAAATGGTTAATAGATTAAAAAATTGTCTAACGTATGTTCCATTGTACTACATTACACAATATACTGACAATCACTTATATATGTTCAAAATCGAGTTTACTAATAATATTCGTAAATACAAGATTGCAGATGAATCTTTTTGGGACGGTATTTTGGAGGTACAGCAGTAACTAGAATGTCCTTTTCTAATACCACCCGTTCATGAGACAAAATTTCATGACGATCTGTCTGTGAAATATTGTCTCAATACACACAAAATATAACCTCCCTTAAACAGAACAAACTTTCATGGTATTCATAATGGAAATTTGTCCTTCTCTTGACATTTTTTCATAGACGAGGACAATATTTCATGATACATAGTCATGAAATATTGTCTTGGGGGACAATATTTCATAGAACAATATTCTGCTTTACACTCAACCGTCCCCTAACCTGGGACAGTACATGCTTTAACAGCAATAAGACAAAACTGAAAAAATCAGTTAGAATTGACCTGACTCATTAGAACGACACGTATTAGATCGACACGAAGCAACTTGAAAAAAGGCAACTAACAATAAGACAAAAGACACAAGGTATCGATGTGAGAGTAGTCGCAGTTACTGAAAGCCAGTAATGGCATGCACATGTGGATATTCCGGTTTTATTGAAAGCTGTACGCTTATAAAAACGATTTTGCCAGGGGCTCAAAGGTCACTATTTAAATTGAATTTTGATTTCAAAGATTTCCAGAAAGAGGCGTTGAAAATTTTCACACAGGTGAGAGGTTTTATAATAGCTAGCAATAAAAACAGGTTTTATCCACCATTTTCTCAAGTTCGGACAATGGAATTGATGTCACGATATATCCACAGGCACTTGTTTGTGGAGAAATACCTATATATCTATATAGGTAAATCAAAATTAAAAGACAATTGCAGGCTATATATAGATATCTGGTATAGAATTGAGTTGGCATGTATACTTGAAACCTCCGTAAGTCCACTGCATGGCATTTTCTATTTTGATTTTATGAGGGGGGTCGGACCTTTATCGGGACTCCGGGATCGGGTGTTTTTAAGCTCGGAATTTCGGGATTGATCCTTTCGGGATCCGGGAATTCTTTTTTCGAATTTCGGGATGTCGGGATTTAAATTTCTTTAAATTCGGGACCTCAGGATTTCATGTTTTTAAGCCCGGGATTTCGGGATCAGGACCCCTCCGACCCCCCTCTTTTATAAATAGTGATTAAAAAAATCAGAATAATGCAGTATTACCCCTATTTGGTAAATAATTTACAAAATAATTTTATTTTAAGTAAATCAAAAGTTATAGGTAAATAGATCTAGTTGAATAATTAACTCAAAGACACTAAAAAATATGTTTTACTCAGCTTGAAGCATGAAGTCTAAAATTCTGTATATCTTACCCCAACCTTCGACCTTGTATGAACTCTTGTATCATGCGTGTCAACTATTTTGTGTTCCCAAAAACAAACATTATGTCCTGTGTCCTGTTTTCGGTGCAACATATATAATGTGTTGCCCATATTAACGAGGTGTGGATTTAGGTTTACAGAATAGAGAATAATTAATGGGCAAAAAATATAAAGAATAGAGAAAAATAGACCAAAAAAATAGAAAATAGAGAATAATGAGGTGCTTAAAGAATAGAGAATAATGGACAAAAAGTATAAAGAATAGAGAAAAAAGGCCTAAAAATTAAAAAATACAGAAATAAAGTACCCCCTATCCAGACCCTCATTAACGGTCTATGTAACAAACAGTGCGAAACGCAACTACGAATAATTCCGCAATATTGTTTGTACTTCCGGTTTCAGAATTTATGCACTTGTACTGATCTGTGTGGGATTAAATCGATATTTTTCACATTTTAACTACAAAATTTCCAAGATTAACCTTGTCAACCAGGTAAGCAACTACTTCAGACTCAGAAATAAGCAAAATATTTTGATGGCGGGGCCTCTGCTCATTTCAGTTATATAAATAACAAGATGCAATGACCAACGTCCGATCGGGTTTGTGTATTTGTTGGCGCTTGTTCAAATTTAGTTAGACTCAAACACAATAAAAGGAATTCTGCATGTGTCATTCTTGAATTAACAGTAGGAAGGGACGAAAGGAGAGGTACAAAATCTTAAATAATGAAATGGAAAAGAGTTATGCATTGCAGTGAACATGGTGAAATTTTTTTTCATTGCTATTTTTTTTTTGAGTCTTGGATATTGTATTGATGTAGACTAGCAAAAAAAAAGTGTGTTTATCTAAGACGCTATAGAGCATCGACTTGATTTTTTAAGGAAATGACTTAACAGAAATGAATAATCTAAAATTGATGTTTTAATTATTTTTTTCAATTTTTGTCAAACATCAACAGTTCATTTCAGTTTCTTGTCAACAACCTGATCAATTCCAATAATTTGATTCTTCAGGTAAATGTGTGCATTTTTATGAAATAACCTTTAAACCAACAAAGCAAGCAGCTATAATGTTTTATATTCCAGTAAGGCAGTAAGTAGTTAGTGGAGGATTGAACATGATGAATCATATCAAAATACTTCCCTGTGTGAATTTTATATCATCTACATTTAAAAAATGTAGTATGAAATTTTTATTGGCCCTGCTTATGAAAATAACAGTGATACAACAAATATGTACATATGAGGGTCTGGGTGGGGTTTGCAGAATAGAGAATAGAGAAAAAGGACCCAAAAAAAAGATAAACATGATAAACAGAGAATATTATTAATGGGGAACAAAAATACAGAGAATAGGGAATAGGCAAGAAATAAAGAAAAAAGAAAAAGGCAAAAAAAAAATGATAAACAGAGAATAATGGGGCACTGAAATACAGAGAATAGGGAATAACAGGCAAAAAATTAAGAATAGAGAATAATCGGCAAAAATTTGAAAAAAATAAAGAGTAGAGAATAAAAGGCAAAAAAATAAAAGAGTAGAGAATAAAAGACAAAAAAATAAAGAATAGAGAAAAATGTCCAATAAAATTAAAGAAATCAGAAATAGATGACCCCCATCAAGATCTTCATACATTTGTACATGTATATAGTGACAGATTTTATTTATTATTGTTTGGCAAACTGCCAATTTAATAAGCCTGATAAAAGATTCATTCCATTTTGTACATAATGTACAGGATGATGGGGACAAAACTGAACTTTTTTTCTCCAGGGGCCAACTGTGTCACTGCAATTTTTTTTTTCAGGGGCCCAACCAGTTTTTATACTACATGTATTACGTTGTACTTCAAATTTACCAATCAGTTTTGCTAATAAAGGTAATTCTATATGAAGCTTTTTTTTTTGTTCATTCCAAACTTGTACTAAAATTTATGCTTCATTTGTGTTTTAATGTGTTGTTTTTTCACAATACTGTACAGATGGAATATGAGAACAAGTTTCTTCAGACATTTTTCTAGAGGCCTAACACCTTATATTTACTACCTCCACATTTTGTCATTCACACCAAAAATTGCATGATACATGTATGTGTATGAACTATTGATAACACTGAAAAACAACTGAAATCCTAAATGGAATAGCTGTGTGGTTTAGTTGGGCATTGACAAAAGCTATGCATAATCGACAAAATATGTATCTTCAATAACAAAATATTAAATCTTTGAATTTATTTAGATCTAGATCCATTTCAAAAATAAATGACAACCTTTTCTTATTCTTGCATTGACATCAACAGACGTACATGTACATTTACATGTACAAAAATTCATTGTGACTGGGCACCGAAAAACAGCCCTTACAAGTGTAAGTGTTTACTTGGCAAACAGTTCGTACCATTAATATATAGTAATTTAACAAACGTGCTGTACATGTATATACTTAAAATGCAACAATGGGAATTTACAAAAATTGAATAATGGAGTTTTGTATAAATCAAATTTGTTTTTAATAACTTAAAATTTTTATTTTAAGTTTCACTTGGTTTTCAACATTTTCTCCTGCAGCCAAATACATCAAATTAGAATTATCTCCCCTTTTAATCTATAGCTGTTTACATTATTTCCAATTGTGTTACATAAGGGAGCTACCATTTGAATTTTATGGGGGGCTAGGATGAAATTTGAATAAAAGGCAGGACAGGAGTTTTCAGTAAAAAAAAGGCAGGAAGAGACACTTTGCAAAAAAAAAGGCAGGATGACAATTTATGTATAAATTAGTCAGGATAAACTAATAAAAAAAAAGGCAGGACCGAATAGAGTGAAAAATTAAAAAGGCAGGACAGAGATTACAACTTAAAAATAATGCAGGACAAAATTAGTCATCCTAGCCTCCCCATAAAAATCAAATGGTAGCTCCCTAACATAATTATCAATTAAAAACATAATTACCAATTAAAATACATTGGTCTGATAATTGTATTATATAATTTTGAATTGATAAATGTCAGTTTACTGATTAAATCCACAATTTTCTTCATAAGGCAATAAATACCAAGTCAGGAATATGACAGTTGTTTTTCATACGTTTGATGTGTTTAAGCTTTTGATTTAGCTATTTGATAAGGAACTTTCCATTTTGAGTTTTCCTTGGAGTTCGGTATTTTTGTTATTTTACTTTTTACCAAAAAAAGGTTTATAACAAATACACATGTATTGTCTTGTCTTGACGGAGTCAAAAAGGGAGACATAGGTATGCTGTTTCTGGCGGCAGCGGTGTCAACAATGTATTAGTTTGTGATTAGGTCTAGTTTATGGTGAACCACTAGTGGTAGGTCAATGATATTTGGTATGCAGTTGTATTAGAATTGGCACATCTCATTTCCATGGAGATTGTTTGACTTGCCCCCTCAGTCGTGGACTATTGACTTTGAAACTTTTGCTTAGTTTACATGTATTAGTTTGTGATAAGGTCAGTTTAAGTTGAACTGCTAATGTTAAGTCAGCATGGACAGTGATATTTGTTATGCAAATTTATTGGCATTTGCAAGTCTCGTTTCCATGCATATTATATAGCCCTACCCCCTCATCATGGTTCATTGACTTTGAAACTTTTACATAGTTTGCAATTAATGTTTGTGTTTAGGTTTGTTTAAAAGGAACGACTTATGATAAGTCAGTGGTATTTGGTATGCAGTTGTATTAGCATTGGCACATCTCATTTCCATGGAGATTGTTCAGCCATGTACCTTCAGTCATGGTTTATTGACTTTGAATATTTGCATAACTTACATGTTAAAGTATTGCTATTTTAATTTCAACATTTGCATTTATCAAAATTACAAAAAGGTGAGACATACATGTATCTCTGTGTTAACAGTTTATTTTTTAAATGAGGTTCATTCATTTTATTAGATTTGAAACTAGAAATGTATCTTGTGTTCAATTACAAGTATTATATATATATACATACCAATACCTTATGCAGTTGCAATTAAATTTGAATAGAGAATTACCAATATACATGTACGTATAGCTTTATGGCATTTGGCATTTTATTTTCATCATTTCTTAAAATAAAATAGTTTCAACTGACTTTCCATCTTTGAGACATAATTAATAATTTATAGAATAATTTCATGTTATGTAGATTAGATGATTAAGTGGCTCATAAGTAATTGATGAATACTACTGATAAAGTCACTGTGCAGAAGTGGATCCCAGAGGGTTGGAACCACCCTTTTTTTTGACGATCAATGCATTTGAATGGGGACATATAGTTGGGACCCCACCTTTATCCTGGGTTGGGAAACCCCCTTTTTAAAAATAGCTGGATCCGCCCCTGCTGTGTCCAGTACTTGTAGTTTCATCATGTACATGTATACAAGACCCAGTTGTAAGTTGGTAGGAGTTTGTAGTTGTACAAGTTTTCAATTGAAAGAGTTTACAGTGGCTTGTATGGTTCAAGATTGCAATCAAACAACACATGAACAAGATTGCAATCAAACAATACATGCAGAACAAGATCGCAATCAAACAACACATGAACAAGATTAATATTGCAATCAAACAACAAATAAACAAGATTGCAATCAAACAACACATGAACAAGATTGCAATCAAACAACACATGAACAAGATTAATATTGCAATCAAACAATACATGAACAAGATTGCAATCAAACAATACATGAACAAGATTGCAATCAAACAACACATTCAACAACAAGTTTGCAATCAACCGAGTTTACATCTGGTACAAGTTTACAATGTATGACTGTCTGTACATGTCATACCACAAATATTGACGTCTATTGAACAGGTTGGCTGTAATTCCAATATATCTACTGGTATGTCATGTACGTCAAGGAAGATATAATTTTCTTTGAATAACATTTTATAACATTGTGCCGATCCTGATAAATCATAGTCATAAACAACATGTACATGTAGGAGAAATTAATTCTGGACGTCAATCAAAAAAGGAAACAGTTTTTCCTGTTTGATATGATTATGCAAATACACCTGGAATAATAAATTACGTTTGTACTGAAGTAAGTACATTTAGTATACTTGTGAATGTAAAAGTGCATGAGTAAGTTTAAAATTTGTAATTTACTGATGGAGTGGTACAAAATGAGGCAATGTTAATCAGGTGGATTGCTTTTGTTTGATTTAGCCCTATCTAAGTAAGTTACATGTATATGTACATTTGTAAATTGGTGACAGATAATTGAAAAAGATGGAAAAAAAACATGCTAAGTCAGAAATGTTGAAAAGAACTGTGAAATGTTTTGTAACCATAATGATTTCATGGAATTTGTAAAAAATAATTTGAGGCTTCTTGAATTATAGCTATGCCATGCCCTCTTAAAGGGGAGATTATTCTCTCAAGATTGGTTCATAAACAGTGAAAGGTCGCCAGACATTGGGCAAAGACCAGTAAAAATAGGTTTGGTCCAGTTAATATGCTTAAGTGATATGCATAACTGGACCA